AAAAATACATATTTTACTAATTATAATTAGTAAAAAATTTAAGCGTTGCATTATTTTTGATTGCCACTGTATATAATAATTATTTGTGTATTCAAAATAAAATTGATCTTTATACAAAAGCTAATTTGTAATATAAATAATATAAAATAAGTTAAAGAAAGATAATTCAATTAAAATTATTATAATAATAATATTTAAAATATCTTTTTTTTAAAAAAAATAATTTTTTTTTAGTAAAATAATACTTTATTTATTATTAAATTAAAGTATAATAGAATAATTAAAATAATATAAAATGTTAATTTAAATTATTTTTTATTTAATATAAAAAAATTATAAAGGTTAGTTAAAATTTGAATAATTTTTATTAGAAATAATTATTAATTTTATATTGATATATCAATTTTTTTGTACTGAATCATATAAATATTAATTATTTATATTAAATATTTTATATATATCAAATTTTTATATATAAATATAATAAATTATTATTTTAAATATAATTTAATATAAGACAAACTTAATAAGATAAAGATTAGAAATAAAGATAATTTATTTAGCTTATCAAGATTTTTATTTTACTAAATTCTATATATAGCTGAATTTATATATAATAAAAAATTTGATAAATCAAAAAAACTTTGGCTTAATATAATTTCAGCTTAGCATAACTTTATCTTAATAAGTTTGTCTTATATATAAAAAACTTCTATTTAATTTATCTAGTTAAAAAAAAATTTTAAATTTTATTAATAATAAATTATTAAATATCAATATATTATATCTTAAAGCAATTAATTTATTTTCTTATCATTAATTCTTGAATCAGTTTAAAAATATTATTTAAATATTTATATAATTAAATTATTTGTTCAAACTATTCAAACTATTCAAGAACTAATTTTATTTCTTGAATATTAAAAAAATTAATCAATTATTTTAGAATATATTCAATAACTTTTATTTTTATATTCTTTAAAACTTGTAAAGAATAATTCTATTCTTTTCTTTTATTAATTAATTAAATTTAATTAAAAATATTATCATTTAATTTATTTCAATTAGACAAGTCAAGCAATAATATTTTGCTTGAATTATATTACTAAATATCAAGAATTAGATATTAGATATTGAGATATGTATTATAAAATAATTAATTATATTTGAAAGGTGAAAATTTTAATATCTAATATAAAAGTTTATCAGTTTATAAAATATAAATAATCAATATTAGTATTATTCTTTATACTTGAAAATTTAGTATATTATAATATAATTTATAAAAGTTAGAAGTGTCAAATACTTTTATAATTAATTATGCATTTGTAATAATCTTTAATATCTTAAAAATTATTCTAAAAAATAGATATTTATATATTAATTAATATTATTTAACTAATTAGTCTATATTTATAATAAAGATGTTAAATAAATATTTTCTGTGATTTTTAGTATTGATTTAATAATTATTTTATAGCACTTTCTAGAACTGTAATAATTAGCAGAAATTACATCATTATCAAAGCTTTTATAATTTTATTCTAATAAGAAACATATTATTTATTTTCTAATTTGTGTTATGAAAATATGACTCAGGAATTCAGAAAAGTTCTAACATATAGATATTAATATAATATAGAATTTTAAATAAAACATAATGAAATGAAATGAATTAGTATAAAGGAAATTATATATATATATATATTATAAAAAAATATTTTTAGATCGTTTCATAATTATTCCTATTTCATTGAACAAAAATTATCATTATGTTTATGAAGAATGCCTCCTAAGCAAAAACGAATAATTTATATAGTTACACACAAGAGTTTTTAATTACGATAAGGGAGTTTAGTATATGTATGTCAGTTTGTAGTCATTCAATTAAATGGAAACATAAACAACTATTATTTGCATATTATGCAGTAAGTCATAAAAATTAAAATAAAATCATAGCTTTTTAACAAATAACACAAAAACGTTAGATTCGACACTTAATTAAAGTAACTATAGCACTTTTATAAGAATGGACAATTTAATTTAAATGAAATTGAATTGATTTTTGAACAAGATTCATATCAATAAGTGAAATAGTTATCAAATATATTTAGTTACAAATTTCATTATGTAGTGAGAAACGTAGTTTTAGTGCTTATAACAAAATTTTAATGATGAAAAGCAAAATCTTTTCGTGCACTTACGATTATAAATAATCAACACTGTATTTTCACGAAATAACGTCATACACGTTATTTTGAATCACAGCCCGCATTAAGTTTAATCAATTCGAAATTTGAAAGTACATCCCTGTGCGTTATTTCATGAAAATGCGGTATATACGATTAATAAAATTCATTCGGAATAAAACGGAATTTTTTCAGGAATTTTCCGTTGTCCCTGACATGGATATCACGTCTCAGATGATTGAATTTATAAATATCAATAATACAGTACATGATCACACACCATACATGGAGGTTACTAATTAAAAAATGCGTGATAAATGGCACACCCCTAAAATAACTTCTGATTTTTTTATTAGATAAAAAATGAATGATATATATATATGGGCAGCCGTCAATAGAAATTAAGCAGACTAGTATACTGGCACGTCCATATGTCCGCGCTTTGTTACTCGTAAAATTTGCTATAGTTATTTACATATTAAATATCGATTATTCGATCAAACTAAGGCATTACACCCGATTTTTGTGCGAAGTAATTATGATTTGAGATATCACTGATATACTGATGTATAACTTTTAATATATCTAATAAATCGACGAATTAAGAGACAATAATATACATATTCAGATAATAATATTTCAATAAATGGAAATATAAAAGGGATTACTAAATATATTTATAGTTTTCCATCTCTACCCCGAATTGTGCCATTCTTAACGAAAATATGTTGATTACCTATTTCTTATATTCTCGACATAGCAACATGTAATTGATCATGAGAGAAGACTGGTTGCGGGAGATACAGACCAATGTGGGGTATCGTTTGACTCTGGATTTGTTGATGGTTAAGGCAAATGCCAACTGAATAGGAAATTGGTTTCTTTTCAATACAAATAGTAACCAGCATCTTCAGATAGCAGTAGGAGAATTCTGGGTATGAATACACGTTTGCCTCGATAATCTCCCGTTGCATTTCAGCATCAATTGTTCGTGTTTGAAATTGTCGACAGATAAGTCTTTTCCATTACAAAATCCATTAGTCGGATCTAGATTTCTAAGCAACATAATGGAAGCACCAACTTTCAGTGTGAGTTCGTGTGGAGGAAGATCTTGAGGTGTCAGTGAGTTAAGGTATTCGATTGGATATAGGTTCAAATAATCGTCCGGTACAGAGTCAAAGCTATGGTACATATGCTGTTCGCCGGGATATCTCGTCATGATCAACTTATTAATCTCATCAACACAATTGTTTAATGGAATCAGTATTGTTCTTTCTGTTATAAAGGTGGTGTTTAACGCATTTTCGGTAAGATTAGGATAAACGGCATCTATTAATGAATCTTGATCATTTTGTAGATGAATAATTATTTTATTAGGAAGTCGGATCAAATCATTTTCTATTATAGTTTCAGCCCCATTTCCTATTCTGAGTAGATATTTCGCGAATGTTTTTGCTTCATGATTGGTAGTTTGAATGACTCGCATATTGATAATTAGAGAGACAACATGGATATAATGTCACAAATAAGCTTATTGAGAGCGGCATTAATGATTTGAGTTCTGATACCTTTACGAATGACAGGTAGAACTGTCGAAAATCTCCTCCAAAATAAGAATATTTTACCATCAAATGGAAGATCGTTTTTCTATAATATCTCTTAATGTTCTGTTAACAGATTCAGGAGCATAATGATGTGTCATTGGAGCTTCGTCCCAGATGAAAAGAACAGTTTTTTCAAGCAATCTAGCCAGATCAGTTATTTTTTAATATTGCAGGTAGCATTTTCATCTATCATAATGATTGGTATTTTAAAGCGAGAGTGTACAGTACGTCCACCACGTAATAATAATGCAGCGATACCAGAAGAGGCTATTGCTAATGCAATTTGATGATTAGCTCATACATGGGTGAGAAGACAATCATAAAGATATGTTTTTCCAGTACCAGCCAGCAAGACCATCTACAAATAATACACTTCCCTCATCTCGACTTATAAGATCCAATACATGATCAAATATAAACGCTGATTTCATTTAATGTATTTGATTTTGCGAGATCCTCTGAGAAAACATCATAGGATAACTCTTCTAAAAGTATTTTTGGTAATACTTCAATAATAATTTCGGGTGACAATTCTGGTAGATATTTAGATTGTGAAGAACTGCCTGATTTTGTCTCTGTAATTTCCCTATGTACAAAATCTTCTGCCATCGCATCGAAATTCTTATTCCATAAATTATTTACATCTGCAACCTCGCAATTGGCTAGGAATCCGAAATTCTCTAGTTTCGGTCATGCATTGTTAATGTTCATTATCATTTTCTAGAAAATCTTTGAGAAGAGCACTTTCTTTAAATGTGGCACATAGAATATTATCTACTGTTTTTGAGATTCTCGAAACTTGTGGCTCCCTTCATTTTTGTTAATAATAAACGAAGATAATATCATTCACCTAAATAATATATATAATTTATAGAATTTTTATTCTCTTTTTTTTGTTAATTGTAAATAAAAATGATACCTTCACCTGGATGAACCCTATATATTCTCCAATGCTACCTTCACGCTAACGTATTTTCCATGTCATGGTTGCCTTATTCCATGTATAGTGAAGAGGAAATCAGCATAAAAAAGATTTCTTGCACTTGAATCTTGTATATTCATTTTGAAATATTCAGTAAGAGATGTTTGTTGATTTCGATTAGCTGCTGTTTATTTCTGCTAGATTACTGGATTCGTTAAAAAAAACTCTTTATTAATTAAGAAGATGTACTTATAAATGCATAATCGCAGGATTCATTCTGCTCATATCAAATCCTAGAATTCTCTAAATGGCTTCTGAAGCTGAAATCCAACGGGTCTCAACAAAGTTTTAATTTCATCAATTGTAACTTGCTGATCATATTACTGATGCTCCTCGACGACTTCAATTATTGCTTTATCATGACCTTGATAAACATATTTAAACAAACATTTAATTGCCTTAATGCTGGCATAAATTTCTACATTAATATGACAATCATATTTTGCACAAAAAATTTTGTTGTATGAAACAATTTATCCAGTAGAACTGTTCGACCTCCTACTCTTATTTCAGCATGAAAACCATTCTGTCTGCGAAGATATATAGGGTAGGAGTTTTCTCCCTGAAGAGTTTCATTCTGAAATTGTTTAGGATATCCTTGGCGTATCGTTTATGTCCTATACCATTATCAATCATGCATGATGCATTGGGATTAAGCTTTTCACATGGTCCATGAAACAGATTACAAATAACAATAGTATATGTTCTGAGGTTAACTGTTTGATCAGGTATTTCAGCACAAACAATAGAATTATAATCATCAGGAGTTGGTAATTTATCCTCTGAATTGAATATAACTAAAATATATGCATGTGGAAGGCCCCGCTTTTGAATTCAATAACATAAATATGTGCAATAAAATCTCTAAGAACTCCATGCTTGAAAAGATCTTTTAATTTTTGAAGCTTTTCTCGAAAAATTCGTACTATAAAAAAAAGTTAATGCAATAGTTAAAAAAAAGTAATTAATTAAAAAACAATGATAAATAGTAAAAATACCTGTAATATCTGGTCGATCCTGAAGCTTTTGTCCAGGCAATATTAGAGCTTGAATTTCTGGTTAATTTGGATTACATGTTATGGTAATAAACAAATCAGGTTTGCCAATACGTAGTAAAGCCATTGCATCTTGATATCGATGCATCATATCGCGAGGACCTCAAATGGATGTGGAAGGAAGTACTATTCTCTGATCAATATCTACTGGATTATAATCACCACACAAGACTGCATCTTGAAGAGCTTGATATAATTCACTTCGGTTTTATCTTGATTTTGTCGGTGAAAATTCAAGCGATCTGATTCAATTTTAACATACATATAAACAACAAATTGTTGAAAGAGTCGTCCTGCACGTAAAAGTAAATGGATAGAATGAGGTCGAATTGAAGCCGATATGCGTAACATTCCATTGCACTCGCGAATCTTCTATGTCGTATTATATTATGAGTATCATTTTCATTTTCATAATTAGAATCTTCAGCAATAACAATTGTTTCAAATGTGAGAGGAATATCTTTATATGGGATTTGACGGGGAGCTCAATTCTGCTCACCATGAGAAAATAGAAATGAATAGACTAAGGGATCATGTACATCCATTGAATTCAGAAATACGAATTAAATGATCCATCCGTGTATGCAATATAATATCACGCTTCTGAATAGTACCAGAAGGCACATTACCATTAACCCAGATTGCTGCTACCTGAGAATTCGTTGGAGCATTATGAGTTCTCTGATCAAGTCCAGGAATATTGGCGTAAATAACTACAGATAGATTTTTAATATCTTCTGCAGATATGTCAAAAAGTAATAAGGATTCACTTCATCAAGCTTGATTTTCAAATCTTAAATAATAGCAAGCTTAAGATTAGAATATCGTAGACATACATTTGTAGATAGTAGTTACAGAGCCATATTCTGGTAGTAGCGAAACAATCTGGTGATAAAATGAACCTTGAACACGAAAGGTATAAACAACATAACTTGAATTTGCAAGCTCACGATCAAATCTGACACCAATGGTAAATATTGATATTATAAAAACGAATTTTTGGTACGAAAATCCTTGGCAGTATTATCTTGATTGGAAAAGAGATACTGTAAAAGTAAGGGAACGTTGAATTCCGCTAGCATCACCTTCCCATTAGAGCAGCACATTCCAGGACTTTCTGTTGGCAGCTTGAGCGCATTGCAATAACTACATATAGTATTTTAATTTTGATGTGGAATAGAATTATATTAATATCTTCAGAAAATCAACGGTCAATATTATGTAGCTGAAGATTATTAGCATGATGTTGATTGCGAGCTACAACATCTGTTGTCGGTAATAAACGTTGCTCTTCACGACGACGGCGATGCGCATCAGCATCTCGTTGACGTCTCTGCTGATATTGTTCATCGGTTTCCATTGCTCTTTTTCTACATCGTCGAGCAGCATCAGTTTCTCTATGTTCTTCTCTACGTTCTTGGACTGATAGATAATGTGCTGTACGTGGTGGCATAGCATGAAAGTAAAGAAATATATAGGCGTTTTTATATTGAGATATATAGATCGTATATAGGTTATTATTATAAAAACGGGTAAGTGACAACGATCGTAGATGAAAAATTATTAAAAAAAAATAACGAAGAAAAAAATTACAATATAGCTAAAAAACGTTACTGAAGAAACTAAAAAATACTCAGACGCAAGAAAATAAACTATATAATTTACGCACTATGCATGATCACATGGTAATCAAAGATCAGGCTCGACCAATCAAATCGCTTGAAAAGGACAGACAATTAGAACTTTAGTAATATTAGATTTATTAGAGTAATCTGTTTGGTTTCTATTGACAGCTGCCCATATATATATAAATTTGATTACACGTATTCTTGAACACATAAGTTACAGTTATTCTTTTTTAAGTTGATGTAGTTTAACAAATCTAACAATAATCCAAAGAAACAAATATTATTTAAGTAGCATGCACATTATTCTCATACTGTAAAAAGAAACCATTAAACAGAATATATATTTAACAAATTAGAAAAACATTCTCAATAATTTAAATTAAAAAAAACATAAGCTCAGTAATGACATAACACATATTTACTATTTCTACTTTTGAGATTATTTACAATTCATTATATTTTGAACATTTTATAATTTCAATATTAAAATAATACAAACAAAATGTCTATTATCATTATTAAGGTCAATTTCTATATTTGAAAACAATGTCGCATTGAAAAAGTGAATGACTATATAATGATAGGAGTAGAACTTTTAGCAGCACATCGATAAAAAGATTGAGCAATACTAGTGGAGGTGAATACCGTAAAGTTCTGTAAATAAGCAACCTTCTAAAATAAACAATCCCCCGTAAATCCAAAAGTCTTGAAAAGCTTGAATAAGAACCCCTTTTTGATAATCAATTTTACCCAAAAAAAAAGTAAATACAAAATCAGAATACGACATCCTTGTTATGTTTGTAATAGCAATCTCTTTTTTAACTCACTCGCTGTTCGTAACAAATGGCTAAATCGATCGATAAATTTATCATTTGAATCAGTTGGGATTAAGCATTTGGAAATGGCTCAAAAATAAGCAACCCTATTAAAATTCGGTCCAAAATTGATGATGTAGGAGTTGCTTATTTTCGGACATTATGGTAGTATGTTAATTTATATAGAAAACGCAATTAATGTCTTCAAATTACTGTGATTATTTCAAATTTATCTCATATAAACATTTTTCTAAAGGAAAATTTGGAACAGCAAACTCAGCAATATGGGATAAAGTGCCGCTTTCTTTCTAAGTGCTATTAAATAGAAAACAATTGGTGAGAGCTGGACAATTAGATCCAGGACCTTTAAAAATATGAGAATTTTATGTACGAGATATTGATTGTGTTTACTATCATTTTAATTCTGATAATTCACGCTAAATTTATTATGCTTAAATCGTCGAATTACATATGTTACGGTATTACAAGAGATTCAGAACTAAGATAATTTAAGAATTTGATTAAACTGGAAACCCTGATAGATATTATTAAGGCTTATATTTCATTCATTAAAACAATCTCTATTTATCGCAACCTTCGTCCTGGCAATATATTGAAACATTTAACTGAAAACTGGTGAGGAATGAACATATATAGCAAACTTAGTTTAGTTTATTCTACAGAATAATTAGTTTGCAATGAATGAATTTTTGGTGTAGGGCCTTACATTGGAACGATCATCGCTTTTCAGGCCACGTTATAGTTTTTAAGAAGGTAAACAACAACCAAATTGCAAGATTAAAGTGTAACGGAAAAAGTCAAAAAAAGAGTAATTTTTGAAAAATAACTCGTTTCTCGAAGTTTTGTCTATGAAACCACTTTATATGTTCTAATAAAAAATGTTCCTTGCAAAGTTTACTATTAAAATTCGCGTGGAATAGATGAGCTGAGTGCAATAGAAATGGTGTAAATTCTATTAGAAAATCTAATAGAATTTACACCGTTTCTATTGCACTCAGCCCATATGTCCTTAATTTCAAGCATATCCTTTCCGTAATTAAAATGCTATTAATATTTCATATCTTGCGTTTTGATTGGTTACCCCTTAAAAATCAACACGTGGTCCAAAAAAGCGGTGGATTCCTTACATTGCACCAGAAATTTTTTCATGAGAAAATATACTCCTACAATATATATAGCTTTGGAATACTTCAGATTATATGAACTTCCATTCTCCGATAGAGGGAATGATAATAACCTCACAGTTTATATTTGTGATGGTTTGCGACCTGAAATTCTAAATAAATTATGATTGAATGCTAAACCAGTTTAATGAAACGTTGTTGGATTCAGATCCTGTTAACCATCCAACTGCTAAGAAGCTTATAAGCATATACAATGTCTACTGTATGTATATGCAAAAAAATGATACATATACAGTGTGAGACAAAAAAAATTCGCAATTCTTAATTTTCTCTATAAATATTTATTTAAATAACATAAAAATTTAAATATATATATTTATGAACATGCTAATAACTTTACTTAAGACCATTTGAACACTTATCTTATTAAAATTTTTTATAATTTATAATTTTTATAATTAAAATTTTTAATAATAAAAAAACTTAAAATTGATTATTATTTTGCAAATTAATCTTAAGTAAATTTATTTATTAGGTTATCAAGCATATATATTTAAAATTTTGTATGATTTAAACAAATATTCATTGAATAACAAATAAAAAAGATTAAAAAAAGAATTTTAAATTTTTTATATTTAATTTTTTTAAAAAAATTTAATAAAAAAATATTAATTATAAAGAACTTTATTAAGATAAGCTATTAAATACTTTTAAGTAAACATGTTTACTAGATTATCAAGCATATATATTTAAAATTTTATATAATATTTATTAAATATAAGCAAAAATAGTAATTATAATTTTTTTATTTCACACTATAAATTTCAAATACTAATAAGAGTTTAAAAAACTACACTCTCCAATCAAAAGTATCTAAACATTTTAAAACTAGAAAAAAATACACAAACTTCAATAATTAATTTCTTAATAATAAATAAATATTATAAAAAAATTTATATTATTTTATTTAGACAAATATAAATTTTATTAATATTTAGTTAAATTTTTTATAATTATTTAATATAGCTTGAACTCTTCTTGATAAACTTTTAACTAAACTTAAGACTCAATTTTATTTACTTCTTCTTCAAAACTACTATTAATTTCATAATATTTTTGAATAAGCTTTATATTTCTGAATTCTTTTCAAAATATCTCACAGATATTATTGAATTAAGATCTAGCTAGACTCTGTACAAATCATGAAAGAATTAATATCAAATTATTATTCTTTTATGAATTAATTATTCTTGCTTTATATACTAAAATATTATTATTTTGAAAAATATATTGTAACTTGCTTTCTAGTATTATCTAAAACTTGAATTAAAGAACTAATTTTATTTTTTATAAAATATTTTCATATTATAACTTCTTATTTTTCAGTTGGAATTAAGTAATTCATGTAATATTTTTATGTGATTTATGCCAAATCCAGTAATTTATATCATTTTAAAATAATATAAAATAAGATTTAACATTTTAAATAATGAAATTTCACTTATCATTCCAATCTTTTATTATAACATTGTTCTAAGTATATTTTACAGTACTAGAGGATGCTAAAATTAATAAAGATTCATTGAATTTTTTGTCATTTTCTCTAGTAATTGTTACTGGTCTTTCTTAACTAATTTTATAAAACTTCTAATATCTTTTTCTATAAGTTTTGATAATCCTCCTAAATATAGAGCATTTGTAATATTTCCTGAATTTTTGTATTTTGTTATAATATCATGGATAGTGATTTTAGAATGTCCAAAAATTTTTTCAATATTTTGTATAGTATAATCTCCTTTTCAAAGATCTATAATCTCTTCTCATTCAAGCTCAGTAAGTTCATACCTTTTGGGCATTGTAAAAGAAAAAATTTGTATTTTCAGTAGCTAAAGACAAGAGCTGCATGGGAAAAAAACTTTATTTATTTATGCTTAATAGTTTGGCATAACCTTATTTTAATAGGTAATGATTGGTAATCATAAATCAGGTAGTCGGATACTTTTGATCCGGGGAGTGTACAAGAAAACCTTTGCTGCCTAAATTCTATTGTCATGTTATAACTATATCTATAAATGCATATATGGATTCACATTATCAAGTCTTGCGATTTAAATAAATCAGTCTGCAAGTAGAAATTCTTATTATAACAAATTTTCTTATTAATTGATAGCATCCGGCTAGAAAACAAATCAAGACGAGGTTTATTTCAGAGAAAATTGTTCGCAAAAAGGAGGCATAAAGATCTTGGACATTATATTAGTTCACTTCTAAGCTATAAAATTAGATCCAACATTATATTTATTGAAAAATTACACAAATAAAACACCGTATATAAGACAAATATAAGCACAATTCATAATTTTTTGAAACTTAATTATAATAATAAATAGGCATAATGTCGATAATAATTGTTTACACATTTACAATATTAATATTGTATACGTAAATTTAAACTAATGTTATATAAGTATGTCGTTTACAATAGGAAGAAGTTGCTCTTGTGTGTTTATCGTTATAGGATAATCAGATATAAATAGCCAGCCAATCAGAACATCGCTATTGAAATATGAATAAAGGTATCCTACCAATTAGACTTCGACCAGTGATAAGTATGCACATGTATAACATGTTTTCAAAGAAACATAGCAGGAAGGCGGAACAGAATCCATGATGAACGTATGTCACTCCCCTAACTTTATCATTTTATCATTATTACATGCTGTGTAATTATTATTAGTTACCATTGACAAAATAACATAATGAAGAAATAGCGAAATGGCGAAATGGCGAAATGACAAATGCTGTTACAAATTACGTATACTCAAATTTGCTAGTTTCTCTCAATAAAAGACCCATCAGATATAA